AAAAAAAAAAGTCTGTTGAAACAGTTTATCAGTTATCCAACTTGTGAAATTGTGTACACAGTCTAAGATGAATGGTGTATGTGCTATAGCAACGCTAAATTATGCACCTTTCAGTTTTATGCATGAAGAAGTAAAATATTTTCAGTTTTTTTTTATAGTGAATGATTACTCAATTTTCCCAATGTCCATTTATTTTAATCCGAAGGAATAAAAGGGGAAAGAATGGGGGAAGGAGAGAGAATGTTGTTCAGTGAAGTTGAAGCAAGCTTCGAGTCATGTTATCTAATCCGCATAGCAATTAGGAAAGACTTATGATGAAAAAAAGGGAGTTGGACTAAAAGGAAGTATTTACTAAACATGAAAACCACTTTCAGACATCCTCTTCTGACTGTGATGACCATTTTTATATTGTTTATTTTTACTTAGTAGAATTTGAAGGAACCTCAGAGATCACTCAATCCATTGTTGTCTTATGGATGGAGAAAGCAAGGTGAAGAAGTTGTTTTACTTGCCCAAGATCCCAGAATTATTTCTTTTAGGTAAAATTTCTTTATACCTATGTGTTTTTAGGTTGAACATGAATTTTCAGCAACATATCCCTTAAGTAAATCAAGGTATGCCAATTCTTACGTTGCATTTTTAGCCCATTTTAGATCTTATTCATAATCTCAGAAAGTAGAAATTCCGTGGGCTGAAGCTCAAGAGTCATTAATAACTCCCTTCTTTCCTACCACCACCCTTACCAACCTCCAGGCTCAGGAAGTTTCAGATAAAGTTCAAATCCACCCAGCTCAAAGTTTACCTATAATTTAGCAAAGTTTTCCCGCATTCAAATTAGTAAACCAGCTTACCAAAGAAGATGGTAATCTGAATGAATAAAAGGCAAATACCTAATTATCTCAATTTTTCATGACTTTTGAAAGAATTGTCTTACTATTCATTCATTCATTAGTATTTCTTTTTTTTTTTTCATTAAGAGACAATTTACATAAAGTGCACAAATCTTAGACAGCTTAATGAATGGTTACATATAGATACATGTTGTAACCACCACAAAGATGAAGATATAATAAATGGTTACATATAGATACATGTTGTAACCACCACAAAGATCAAGATGTAGAACGTTTCTAGCATCTGAGAAGGCTCCCTTATGCATTTCCCCTTCTATAGTAACCACCACTCTTCTAACCTCTACCATCATATGTTCATAGATGGGCTTTACGTGATTTTGGGAATGAAATCATACAATATGTACTCTTTTGTGTATAGTTTCTTTAATTCTACATTAGGTTTGTGAGGTTCATCCATGTTGTTGTGCATATCAGTAGCTTGTCTTTTTCGTTGCCTATAGTATTCCATTGTGTGGATTTACCAGGCTCTGTTCATTCATGGTATTTTTGATGGACTTTTGGAATGTTTCTAGAGGATTGGGATATTATGAATAAAGTGATTATAAACAGAAATGGCCTTCATTTCTGTTGAGTATATACCTACAAGAGGAATTCCTGGGTCTTTTTACTTTGTTTTTCTTTCAGGGTCTACTTTTTTACTCTGGACAGTAATCTAACCTTTCTAAGTTGTCAAATTAACCATAACAATGTCCCTCTCTTTCGGCCTGACAAGTGTTCCAGGTGGCAGATTTCACAGCTTAAGATGGTCCACCAATAGGGTAACATCTTTCATGGTTCACTCCCTATGGCATCCCTGATGGGTTTTCCTCTCCCATTTCCTTCTCCCTAACTTCCTGTTATATATATTCTGACTTAACATGAGGGGCAAAAAAGATAGACTCTTGAAGGGGACTTTCTTTACATGAAGGGGACTTTCTTTACATCTATTCTTCATGGAGATAGTAGTATAGTGGAAAAGTACTGAGTCAGAATCAGGAGACAATTTTGATATCCAGGCTAGATTTCTGTTCTCTAGGCTAGAGGCTGTGGAGTAAATCACATCACTTGTCTGGCCTTCAGAGGGGTCATTTGTATCAATAGTTCCCAAACCTGGCCACAAATCAAAATCATCTGGGGATATTTCAGTGTTTGTTTTTATTGTAAAAGTGGTACATGTTAATGGAAAAAGATCAGATAGTAGTAGATCAAAAAGAGTATAAAATGAAAAGTGAAAATACCTCCCCCCATAGTCTACAAAATCTCCCATTCCTCTAACTCAGAAATTTCTTAGTGTTGTTCTTAACTTTTAAAATAAAGATCCCTGGGCCCCACTCCAGACATAATGAAGCAGAATCCCCAAGGTCCTAGGAATTTGTATTTTTGAAAAAACCTTCATAAGTGATTTTGATAGACTTTCAGGTTTGGGAATGAATCCCTTGACTAAATAATATCTGAAATCCCTTCCAGTAAAATCCCTCCCTCACTCCCTCAAAATGATAGGATTTAAGTTTGCCAGCTGCTAACAGGATCAGCCCTACACATCGCTAAAATGACACTGGTTTTATTTTGACCTCTTGTTATTTAGGCCTTCTCTCTTCAGCTTCAGCTGCTCAATTTCTTCACTTTAAAGTTTTTGTAACTGCTTGGCCCACACAGTGAAACTTTACTAGTTGGAAGGCAGTGACACATTTCATTAAAGCTCTAGTTGCTTTTTGGTTAATCCCATAAACCAATCAGTATTAATGAATTTGCTAGCTAATAAATACTCTTCACAGATAACATAATGCCTTATGCTAAAATGTAGTTTCCCGTAATGCCCTTAACAAGTAGCATGGAGTTTTGGGGCTCCTTACAGAACATTTAGGAAGATGCTTTTAGTCAGGCAAGCTTTCAAATTAAATCCATGTACACAAACATTTTTCTGTGTCTACCATCACTAGTGTTACTCAGTTCAAGTATCTGAAAAAGCACGTAGTTAAAATAAATAGATACTAACTGACACAAAAGAAATTGCTAGGAATTTAAATCACAAGTAAAGTAGCTGAGAATCATCAATTATTAGGAGAGAAAGATTTATTTGGATAAACTATCCAATCCAAATTACACTATAAAACAATAAACTACCTCCTAGGCCCTCTGCTACCCAAACCACGTAACTGTGGAAGGAAAAGGAAACCTAGACGTAATTGTTTTGATTAAAAAGGGAGCTGTGAGAAGACAATAAAAATGCACCTTGCTAGGCCAAAGATTGGGAAGTAGGAAAACATAGAGCTCAACATAATACCTGATCCATACCAATGATAATTATACAATAATTCTATTTTGAATATATATAGCATTTCTTCTATAAGCTCAAAGAATGGTTATATCTATTACTTAAAAAAAATTCCTATCTAGAAAAAAGGACCAGACAATATCCTTCCATGTTATTTATCTGTAGAAAAACTAAAGTGATAAGGGGTTAGATAACTTTCCTAAGTTTAAAGGGCAGAACCAATTGTCCTGACTTCTAGAGTAAATCATGTAATTTTACATAAATATTGTGTTTATTACACTGCATGCAGATTGTGTGTACACGTGCGTGTGTTGTTATTTGGAAGGGTGGCTAATATTGCAGTTAAATATACTGGTGAGACTGTAGCGTGTGTTCATAGATTCACAACCTCATAGCCTCCTTCACTCTGGGATCTCTGCCGGGAGCACTCCTATTCTGCCTTGATTAACTCCTTATTCTATGAGGCTCAGCTCAGGTCTTGCCTTCCGTGACCACCCTGAGCTGATGCCTCTTTTCCTTGCTCCCACTGGCCCCTGTGCATAACCATGTCTTTCTTAGCCCTTACTACCTTGATCTGAAATGGTCTGTGGGTACAGCAGCCTCTTCACTAGGCTTTAGGTGCTACAAGAGAGTGTCCATTAATGCATCCCTGCTGCTTAGCACAATGTCTGGCACAATGCCAATGCCCTCTCTATATTGACAGTATTGTTCTTCTAATGTCTGATTGGTATTTCTGCAACTAAATCTTCTTTTAAACCACCAAAGTTAATCCTCTGTGGTTGAAAAAGTTCCAATACAATTTAGAAGGTAAAATTTCCATTACTTCATCATCTTATCTGTCTAATTCAGCATTTCCTGTTTTTGTATTCTGTAGAGTTGGTCTCTGAGAGATGCTGTTAAATAAGGGTTCTGTGTTGGAAAAGTGTTATTCAACCTAACGAGACAGGAGGTATAGTGGTTAAGCCCACAGGTGCTGGAAGCAGACTGCCAGGCCACATTGGGTAAGTGGTTACTTCTCAACTGTGCTTCCATTCCCTCCTCTGTAAGACAGGACAAATAGCGGTCCTCTCCCATCGGGCTGCTGTCAGGAGTTATTGAGTAGTACACAAAGGGTTTAGAATGCCTAGTAAGTGCTCAGAATATGCTGGCTACTATTATTAAACAAAGTTAACCATTTCTTCTTTCATATTTGGTTCTGTTTTGTTTGCTTGCTGTAGGACTGCTCACAGCCTTTAATATGCAGAGTGCCTATGCATCTCCAGTAAGCAGTATTTCCCAAATTTACTTGATGAAAGACCTACTAGAAAATCCCAGAAGTAGTGCATCTCCAAACATACTCTAGGAAATTCCTATCTTATCAATTTAAAAAGAACATTAACATCTTCCAAACCAAAATTGGGACACTGGTTTGACAAGTTTGGATGTAACCTGGGGCATTGGATGTAGTATTTGAAATGAGGACTGTTCTAGCATACAGGCAAACAAATAAATAAACAAGACCTATGCGTTACTACATTTAAAAATCTTTTCTTTTTAAAAAATTTGAAGTGCAAGTGAAATGACTTTTATTGATTCTAAAGTAAAGAATGCAAATATTGTTCAAATAAAAGCCATCTAGGCTTCTCACATTATTTTCTAATATAGTTGGAAAATTGTTACTTGATAAAGATGAAGGGCTGGACTTCCTTATTCATCTAATAAGAACTTCCTCTAGAGCCAGGAAACTTTGCAAGTATGAAATAATCTGAAAGAGGGAGATAAAGAAGGAAGTAACTGACCTCAGTGAAAAAGAGGAACAAGTTCTAAACTAAAGCTGGTTTAAAACCACCAAAAGAACTAAAGAGAGTCCAGCATACCAATCTCAAGGTAAGAACTTTTTAAGAAATTTGGATAATGAAGAACTATAAGAAACAAGTTCATTTTAAATAATCAATGGCTTTTTATCTTATCAAAAACAGTTTTTAGAAAAATTGCCTTGAGTGGTCATTGGGTGAAAAACCAGTTTACAAACTGAGAGTGATGTTCATGTTTCTTTACAAGTGCATATGCTCACAAGTGTAAGGTTATGCTTTGCTGTTCACTGGTTTCCAAACAGAAGGGTGGTATCTGACTTTGAAAATTCCAGAAGTTTATCAACAATTTATGATTTTAAGACAAATGAATAATTGTTAGGTAACCTGTTGGAACTGATTTCCAAAACAAAAACATATAGTCTTCTTTGAAATTGGGCAAAGTGAAATTTATTTATGTTCTAAGCTGTGTTTGAAGGGCTCTTGTTTAACATGCTTTTCAGTCTAGTAGGTCTTTACGCGCCTCAGGGTTTTTCCTATTAAGCTATTTTGAAGAGAAGAAAACGACACATTTCTTTCCCTATAAAAAGACTTCTTGTCTTAATTTCAGTGAACACTTCTTTGAAAAACAATTTTAATATTGGGAATGTCCACTTTATGTAAAGCAACATAGATGGTAAAAATAAATTCTCCTCTTGGAAATTGAGAGAGTGATTTATTCCCTTGTCCTCAGGGGACAATAGTTAGCCTTCTCCACTTCTGTTGCAGGCCTAGCACCTTTTAAAAAGCTGATTAATTTCAATCAGTATTTGAAATTTAGTTCAAATACGCTGGCAAATAATTACTTAAATCGATAATCATTTGTACCACAAAATATCTTAAATATGATCAGTTCTCATCTGTTCTAGAGGGGAAATAGGGTCCTCATTTTCCAAACCTTTGCCATGGAACACAAGCATTGTGTCTGGTGTTATAGAGAAGAGACGTTACAAAAGTTCCAAAGAGATTAAAAGACGTCTAGATCTAGTGTATCTGTCCCTATAGTTTTATAAAATAATTTTTATAAATTAACTGTATCTCATATTCAGTTTGATATTTTATGTGAAATGCCAGATTGAAAACTTGCATGTTGATGTATTCTAACATTAAACAAGTTTAGAAAAGTTCACTGTCATACGTGAATACTCACTGAAAGCAGAACACAACCTTATGGGTTTTCTTTTTTCCTGTTTATTATTGTTATCCTAATGGAGGTTGCTCCATTCATTAACAAATATTTAATAACCTAGCTATTCTCTGTCTAGTACTGGTGCTGGTAATATAAAGATAAATAAAATATGATCCCCAGCCCTCAAGAACTTCAGAGCTAATTAAACTGTACAAAGTTAGTGATGGATGTGCTTGACAGCCATTGACAGAAATTTGGGTAAGAATAACATTTTACTTGAATCCTGATTCAATCTCTTCTTAGTTGTTAAAGATGTTACTTACTCTCTTTAATCCTCTCTTTTCTAATCTATAAAATGAGGATAACGATAGTATCTACTTCATAAGGCAGCTGTAAGATTAAATGAGATAATCCACGTAAAGGTGTTTAGAAGGTGACCCAAAATAAGCTCTTAACTAAACATTATCGATGATGACTTTCAACAGATGATGACAATCATCCCACAAGCACTATTAACAATATTGGATGACTACAGCTAACAATACTGTATTGTATATTTGAAAGTTGCTAAGAGAGTAGATCTTAAAAGTTCTCATCACACACACAAAAATTGTAACTATGTGAGGTAATGAATGTTAACTAAACTTAGTGTAGTAATCATTTCACATTATATACATATATCAAATCATTGTGTTGTACACCTTAAACTTATACAATGTTATATGTCAATTATATCTCAATAAAACTAGAAGGGGAAAAAAAGCAAAATGATATTGAATGTGACTATTTCTGTGTCTAGGCTGAAAACATGCATTAATAATGTTTTGTTGACAAAATCATAATAGAACACTCAGTCTAGTTGAACACTTTCTGTTTCTCTCCTCTGCCATTTTAAAGCATTGACAGAAAACACTCTAAAATTATCTTAATTGAATGAAAGTTATGTGCTGGAAGTTTTGAGAAGAGTGGTGATAGGAAGGCTTTCAATATTTTATGTCACAGAGCTCTTTTCTTCTTTTAATTATAAACTATACCCTTTAGAAGACATATCTCCAGTTTTAAACTATCAACTTAAGCAATTAGATGCTGAGATTTGGAGTCATTTGTTTAATCATTCATTCAATAAATATTGATGAATGCCTTTTCTGTGCTAGGTGTTATGCTATTCTCTAGGAATATAAAGATGAAGAGACCTGAACTTTGCCCATCATTTAACCAGGCAGGAAGATACACAATTCCCTGTAATTTAGGTTAGGGTACTATAATAGATAATGGACTCATTAATATGGGAATATAGAAGAAGGAGTGAGTCGGGAAAAGACATGGTCCCTGACCACTCCGCAGGCTTCACAGAGGAGGTGGTAGATAATGGAAATGATTGCACATGTATACTCTCATCCCTTTCCTCCTATTGTGTTCAAAGCATTGTCTTTCACTTGAAAATTATTAGCCTTATTGTCAAAACCCATGTTGAAATCTAAGTGATAAAATCACTCAGGGTCCAGCAGGGACAGGATCTTCTAACTCTTTCTTTCCTCACAACAGCTATTACCATATTCTATATTGAAGCAGAAACTCACTAAATGCTGGTGCTTAATGTATTGGTAGAAACTGGTAGGTTTTTTATTATGCTATGTAATAAATATGCAATTAATATGTTTTTAATTTACAGCAGGTTTCTGGATGGCATATCATTCAACCTTCTTTTTCTTGGGTTTTCTACTCTGCTATTATCTTCCACTCATTTCTGCTTCATCTTGTGATTCCCAGATAGAAAAGGAAGTGGAGTGGAATAAAATCGCCCCTGACACGGTGCAATTATACATTAATGGTTGTAAAGCAGAAAGCATCAGGTACAACGAGAACCATCTTCCAAAACTAAGTTTACTCAATCTCTCCTCTAATTGCATCAGGACTTTGCCAGATGATGTTCGTTCAGATCTGAAAGAGAAATGCCTAAAAGAGCTTCCAAACTTAATTTCGAACCAGACTGTACAAGGAATTACATCAGTCTGTACCTGTGATTTCATTAAGGGCTACACCACACCGATAAACAACACCATTTGTGCAGAAATGTTGAAAAGCTGTGGAAATACGTTAGCAGCCGTTTCTATAGGAATTTCCCTTTTGGTACTGTTGGTGATATGTGGTATTGGGTGTGTTTGGCACTGGAAACACCATATCACAACACGATTTACCTTACCAAAGTTTTTGCAAAGAAGAAGCAGCAGGAGAAAAGACTATACTAAAACACTCTCCTTGAGTCCCCACATTATCAGCTCAAAGCATAAAATCTCAGTTCAAACCCAAGGCCACAGATCTCCTGCAAGTGAGACTAACATACATGACAACTATGAAAATGTAGAAGTGGGTCCTCCCAAAGCTAAAGAAGAAACCGGGAAGGAACTATACCAGAACACTCAGCCGTCCAATTTCGAGGAGGAGCACATCTACGGAAATGAGACACCGTCTAACTATTATAACTTCCAGAAGCCTTGTACTTCTGAAGTCCCTCAAGATGAAGACATATATATTCTTCCAGATTCATATTAACTTTTCAAAATATCAGGTTTAGTTATTGGAGGATAAATATTCTTTGGGACTTTTATGGCACTGATGTCATTATTGATTGAGTCTTCTGATGAAACTCAATGTCTCTCATCTATTTCCACCCTCTGAGTCCTCTCTATGTGCATCACTGTGGATTAGTTCTGGATACTCTCCACCCTCCTTGCCCTGGATTAGTTCTGCATTATGTTATATTGATTCTTCCTTCTAAATGTTCCCTGTTATCTTTTTCTTTTATTTATATCTCCACCATCTTTTTCTGTGTCAAGATTATTGTCACAGTCTCCTAACTAGTCTTTCCGGCTGTATTGTCTACACACTCAATCAGTTCCCCATGATGCTGCCAGATGTATTTTCAGAAAATATTCCCAGTGGGCACATCACTCCTTTGCTTAAAACCTTTTAATGCTTCCTTTTTAGCAAAAGATATAATACTCATAATTCTAACTCCAGAATTCATGATTTTCTGTAATTGGTTCCAATTTACTTTTCCAATGACTTCTACTAATCCCTCACTTCTCTGCTTTCATCAAAATCATCGCAAAACCTGCCAAACTCATCCCTCCTCCATGCCTTTGCTTGTCTGCCCCTCTTAAGCTTGCTCAGATCATATGTCCCTCCACAAGTCTTCTGAACCATTCCAAACCTACTTTTACCTTTTTCTTTTCTGATCTCCTATACATTTTGCTACCTGTTAAGTTCTGTGGGCGTTTAAACATATGAATGTTTGCTATGGAATTTTATTATTTAATGTCATATGAGAATGTCTTAAATTCTCTACAAAATTGCAAGGAACTGCCTCATATTCATATTTTAGCCCCAATGCCTAGGCCATCATATGAGACACTCATTGTTCCATTGACAAGAATTGAATTGTACATTTTGCTAAGTCGTTCTAAGAAAAATATAATAAATTCATCCATCCAAGGAATATTTATTGAGTACCTTCTATCTACTTCTTACTGTGCTGTGCATAAGGAGGGGGTAAAACAAAAAGAAAGACGTAGGTCCTGAACACATACTCTCTAGTAGGAAAGAAATGACAATAAACAAACAAACAAATAAATACTATGCTAGTTATTAAGCTGTGATGTCTCATCTCTAAACCAACCCTTGTATATGCTGCTCTGAATTGCTTGGGCTGGGACTCTGCAAACTACATTTTTCCTTTGCCATGTGGATCCATATTAGGTTCTGTCAATAGGGGCTGCTAAGGAAGACTGGTAGGCAATGGGAAGGAAAAGGGACTAGCTCCTTCTTGTTCTCCTTGTTGTCCCGAGCGGGTACTGTTGCCAAGTAGTTTACTCCAGCATCACTGGTTGTTTGCAGTTTCTAGTTTCTTCTCGCACTCCCAGAACCAGCTTCATTGCATCCTATCAGAGACGCCAGCACCAGCCAGGCAGCACCTTCTCCTTAATATGTCAGAACCAGCTCTCCAGCACCTCCAAGCTCCTGAGGGACCAGCAGGAGATAAATGGCACCCTCAGAGCTCTGGGTCCCAGTCCTGCAGGGTGCCGCCTCCTAGGTTCTGATGATCCCCAGCCCTAGGGATGGTGGCTGTCTCCTGCAGTTACTGTCTCTATGGTACCTCAATGTCCTCTTTTTATCTTTTCAGTCTACCAATACCTTTTTTTGCTAATTTTCTATAATCAATTTTCTCTGTTAAAACAAACTAGTATGGTTTCTACTTCTCCACGTGGATGCTGAATGATACAAATAAAAAAGGTATAGTAGGTCCTTTGGAGAAAAAAATAGCTTTCTGTTTTTGAGAGCAATGGAGTTGGTAGGGAAAAGGGTTTGAATTTTAATAAGAACTTTAATAAGTCAAAGGTGGCCTCTCTAAGGATACACTTAAGCTGAGACTTGAGGGTGAAAAGGAGTTATCCATGTAGATGTGGTTATGCAGGGATGGGGTCAGTATGAGAAAAGAATCTGAGATGAGAGAATTTATGTGCTCTAGAACTTCAAGAAAGCCATTGTGGCTGGCGCTTAGTGAGGGAGGTCTGAAGTGACACCCGATTGGTTGGTAAAGGAGGGAATAGCAGACAATGCAACTTATTATAGCTCTTGGTATGTGGCTTAGACTGTTATGGATGCAAATGGAACCTAGTGAAGAGTTTTAAGCAGAGGAGTGACATTTACATTTTTTAAAGAGATACTGGGTTGAGAAATGACTGAAAAGGGGCTAGATGGAAGTGGGGAGAGCAGTGAAGAATATTGCTCAATAATTTACTACTCATTGATGAAAATTTATCATGTGTGACAAGGTTTTAAATAACTCCTATTCACCTTCTAGAGAAGAAAAGGATTTACATTGCTCTCAACTTCTAGATTGGTCCTGGAGCAGATGATCATTTTAAAGTCTCAAATAGGAAGTTTTTTCTAGAATAATCAATATCCATGCCTAGCTATTACCCAATTATAGGAGCTGACGATAACCTGACAGAAATACTACCAGGGCCTCTGTCTTGGTAGGATCCTGAGAATCAGGCTACAATGAGTAGGGGAGTTAATCCAGAATAGCTCAAGTGGTATTATCTAAGGTAAGAGTGAGAGTCAACATTGAGACGACAATCTAGAGGTGGATACTAGAGAAGCAGCCTTAAGGGTCTGGTCTGAACAGTAACTGGGAGGTTGTAAAGCAAGATTTTCACTGGGCTAAGCAAGGGCCCATTTGCTGTGGAGATCAATAATAGGTTGGGGTATATTGTTCTACCCTATTATTGGGGTATATTATTGTTACCCTTATATTGAAGTATAAGGCAGATTGAAGTGAAATGTTTCAAGTTGCAGGCTGAAAGCAAGGTCGAGAAGCCAGGTGCTCGTTGTTGCTGGATATTGGCCAAGGAGTCTCACAGAGACCGGCTATAAATCATAGAATGTGTCATGCCTACATTTCTGTGAGTACGAAGCAAAGCCACAGTCATTGTATTTGATGCTACCGTCTTCTTTCCCCCACCCTCAACATCCTTCCTCTTAATTGTGGTACATGTGGTTGCATTTGCTAATAATATAACACAAATACGAACTGCTGCTCTCGATAGATGCAGACGAACTTTATTATCTTTATCTCTCAAGGACAATTTTTACTTTTGAGATTTAAGAAGGCAGAGAAATATTGTAATAAAGCATGCAGATAGGAGATAGAAATTTGAAAGGGAGAGAGGAGGGGAGAAAAAGAATGGTGGGAAGAATAAGGAAGAGGAGGAGAAGTGAGAGAGGGAGTGGAAATGAGAAAAGGAGGGAGGGGGGGAATAAGAAACAGGAGAGGGCACAAAGAATAGTGTACGTATAGTAAGAAGAGAAGTTGAATGACAATTTCCTTTATTATCTTCTTCCCACCCCCCTCCCCCTGCAAGAACTGCTAGTAAAGTTAAGTAGGTACAAAAAGAAGACGGAAGTGGTCTGCCTGGTTGAATGTAGAGAATAATTGACTACTAGTAAATGTATTGATAATTGCACATACCCTTGTCATGGAACTCACTAGCCTTCTTGCCTGTCCTCAAACCTGCCTAATTTAGGGACATGACATTCTCTCAACCTTGAATGCTCTCCCCTAGATGTTCACATTGTGAACTCCTCATTTCATTTAGCTCTCTGATCAAAAGGCACCTACTCAGAGCTGACAACAAATCTGAAACAGCCCCCTATCATTACTCTCTGACACTTTCTACCTTGCTTCAGTTTTCTCTATAGCACTTATCACTACCTGGTAAGCGTTTGTGCATTTATAATCTGTTCTCTCTATGTAGACTATAAGCTCCATGAGGGCAGAAATATTGTCTTACTCCCTTCTTGATCACCAGTACTTTGCTCATAGGATCTGCTCAATTATGTTTGCTGATCAAATTAATGAGGTTTTTTTCTTTAAGATTAACACTTTTAGTGAAATTACTGAAATATTTTGGAAAATAACATAATGGGAAGAGTTAACATATATTATTTTGAACATCACTGATACGTAAGGATATATTAAGGCAGATTTTTATAAAAATTCAGTGCCATAAGTCTTCTTTGCCATGTCAGTACCCTCAAGCTTTGTCCCTGTGATCCCAGTCATTGGAGCCAAGTGACACCTCCTCAGGTAGAACGAAAGCAGAGAAGACCAGGTACTGAGGCCAGTGTGGACCTAGGGCTCCATGGAAGAGAGGTAAAAGAAAGCAATCAAGAAGGGGGAGATGACACTTGTTTCCACGCTTTTCACTGCTATTCTAAGCCACAGTTGACTTTTTAAATTTAGAGAATGATAAATCCAATAGCCACTTTTTAATGCTAACCGTGTGTGATCACTTTGCAGTATTGCATTTTGCTCTCTCTTTTTCCCTTCACAGGCTCCTTTTCTCTCATATGCTCATTCAGTGTGGTGGTTCTCCAGGATTCTTTCCTTGTCTCCCAGCGCCTTAATGCTTCTTCCTCAGGTGATGGAGGCATTTATGCATGAACTCTCCTGCCCCAATGTCTTTGTGAAGCATTTGACCCACACAGCTCACCCTCTAGTGCTTATTTCTATGCAACATCTTTCAGGCATCTGAAATTCAGCATGGCCCAAACTGATGGATAGGGGTCAAAGTTGGGTGTCACTCAGAAATAGAGATGGGATTAGTGATGGGGCAAGAGAAAGCTCAGAGATAAAGAGAGGGTATCCATTGCACAGGTTGCTTGCTAATAAGTTCAAAAGCTGACAATTCAAAATGTCCCAGTGTTAAAAACCTCAGCCTCAAAATATCATGGTGTCGGTATACCATGTAGCTACTTCTTCAACTTCAAAGCCTGGCTCAAACAAACAAGGTTTGTCCAGTGATCCCCAGTCACTGAAGCCAGCTAGTGTCACTTTTAGAAAATAGAGTATCTTTCCTGCTCTTCCCCTCACTTCTGAGTGATGAGCTCTGAAACTTCACACCGTGTGGATAGTAGCAGGAAGTGGTCCAGGGCCTGCTCAGCATCAGGCTAGTGCCTTGTCTGATAACTACAGATGCATGGCTCAGAAATGCTACTTATTTAGTTTTCTTCAACATTTTCATTTGCTACTTATTTTTAAATCTTCTTAGGATAACTACATTGAACTGGATCTAAAAATCAAGGTTTAATGGACTATATCATGAAAAAAAACACAGAACGGGGATTTTAGAGTTTGTCCACTTTGAGCGAATGGATATCCACTGATAGCCCTGTGAAACACAGGAAGATTGCAAATATATCTTGAATAAAAGCACTTTCTGGTAGATGCTTACAGTGGGATAGACAGGAAGTCTCAGAACATCAAGGTCATGAAATTTATAGCAAATGACTTTAATGATCTAGTAGGGTAAAGTTATTTCAGTCATGTAACAAATATTTATCAAGTGTCTGTGATGTATCAAACACTGGAAGAGCACTGGAAATTCAGCAGTGGGGTTGGTGGGCGGAGGGTGTAGAGACAAGCCCTGTCTCTGCATTCAGTGAGCTTACAAGTATAAAGGAGTTCCGATACTTATACAGGCTACTAAAATGTATTGAGACAATGGAAGGGAAGCACATGGTGTAGTGGAAAACTAACCGAGCTTGGGGTTAAGACAGCTTTCCTGCAAAAAGTGACACCTAAACTGAGACCTGAAGGACAATTAGGAGATAGCCAGGCAAAGAGGCTGA